ATAAGGCCGCAAAATATTTGTCTCCATAATGATGGATGACGAATTAAATAAAAAATTCCACGAATAGGATAACTTTCAGATCGATGAAGCACCATTGGATATATATTTTCTATCAAAAAAAAATCTATAAAAACAACTGTAGTAATTTAGGAAACGATATTTGTTTATGTGTCATCTCATCTATTATACCAATTGAATAAAGAAGTCTATTGTGTTGGTATCTAGTGTCCTCTTTTAGATTTATATGTTATATGTTCCAACAAACATGCCGTGTGGCGTTTTAGTCGGCACATAGCGTCCTCTTCAGATGAATCAGTTTCTGTTGATTGGACGAGCAAAGAATCAAACAAATAATTCCTCTTCAATCGTTGTATTACGATCTTCTTATTCATCAGTTCAGTCGAGTAGAACGATATAGAACGTATAGAACACGCTGAAGCTAAATCTGACAAGGTATTACACAAACTCAAATTCTAGATCAACAACAAAAAATGTTCGTTTTGTTGAAAAGTACGTTTCTTCATCGCCTCAATCGCAATCTTTTTTTTTTTTGGTTATAGTGCTAATGAATCATCACAATATCATTAATCGTACTATCGTCAATCACACTGGCTCATCATCCACTTTTCTATCTTTTCATGGAATTCTCACCTCGAAATGGATTCGAAATGAATTTAATAAATCTCTTGAAGCAGAACATATCGTGAAAACAGATTCCTTAAAGAAATTTGAAGAAACTGTATGCAACATTATTGATTCTTCAATTTATAACTGTGAAGTGACAAAAGCAATGCCATTAGCTTCATTATTCAATGAACTTCGTATATTGGTCGAGTCAACAGCACCAAAAGATATTCAAGAAAAATTATTCAAGATGTTGCATACTGTTGAACAATCAGCAATGAATAATGAAAATAAAATTACAGAGTTGTCGAGCAAATTGTTGATCTTCGTTTAGCCGAAAACAAATTGATGGAATTATCCAGTCAAGTTACTGATGTTCGTTCAGCTGTACAAAGTTTACAAGAACGTCAACATGAACGTGATGCTATACTACTCAGGTCGAGCATTACGAC